CACCCGCAGCAGCTCCCGCTCCAGAAGTACCCGCAGGTCCAGCAGCTCCAGCACTCCCAGGACGAGCACCTACGGGACCCGTGGCACCAGCTCCTTCAGCAGCAACAGAACCTCCAGTACCCGCAGCACCTACAGCTCCAGCAGCTTGCCTCCAGCGTCGGGAAAACCACTCACGCAGCTCCTGTGGAGACAGTGGCTCCCGGCGAGAAGAAGCACCCGGAGAACCGCCAGGCCCAGCTCCCCCAGGCTCCACACCCCCAGGTTCAGCACCTCCAGGCGTAGCACCCCCAGGCTCAGCACCCCAAGGCTCAGCACCCCCACGCGTAGCACCCCCAGGCTCAGCACCCCCAGACTCAGCACCCCCAGGCTCAGCACCCCCAGTCGTAGTACCCTCAGGCTCAGCGCCCCCAGGCGTAGCACCCACACGCTCAGCACCCCCAGAGTCAGCACCCCCAGGCTCAGCAGCTCAAGCAGCACCAGAGTCACCAACGACCTCGACAGGCTTAACAGCGTCTACCTGGGACACACCTAAACGGGCAAGACCTTGAAGGGGGAGAGGGTCTACCGAGGGGGGACCTGGTACAAGGAAGAGCGGTGGCGGGGCGAGCGACGGAGTGCGGTAGGGGAAGAGGCGGTAGTAGGGGACCGACCTGTCGAACGTGACGTCCTGGGAGGACAGAACACGGCGAGATGTGGGGTGGTAGAAGTGCCACCCTGGGGCGTCAGGGAAGAAACCCAGGAAGACGCAAGGAGCAGCACGAGGGGACAGCTTGTCCGCAGACAAGTCGCGGACAAACGCCCGAGATCCCCATACACGGAACGCAGACGCATCGCCAACCTTCCCCGACCACAGCAAAGCGGGGGAGGTCTCCGGCATGGAGACCCTGCGCTGAAGGTTGATCTGATGCGCCGCGTACCGAACCGCAAACGGCCACAGAAAATGGGGGGCAGCCGCATGCATCATGGACGTACGGGCGACGTCCATGACCATGCCAATGCGGCGCTCAGCAATCCCATTTTGCTGTGGAGAGTCTGGAAGCGTGAAGGTCTGGCGGATGCCTCGTGCACGACAGTAGGCTCGCAGAAGGCCAGAGGAGAACTCTTCGCCTCTGTCAGAGTGCAGACGCAGAACAGGAAAGTCCGAGCCGAAGCTCCGCCTGAGCTGGAGACGAGCTGCGCGGATCCAGTCGATCAACACCTCAGTGACATCACCCTTGCTGCGCAAGGGGAAGACTGTGGTGTAACGCGAGTAGTCGTCAACCACCAGCAGGAAGTAGCGCTCGTGACCCTATCCACGGACGCGTACTGGGCCCCACACGTCCATGTGAAGCGTCTGCAGTGGGGCCTCTGTCGGAGGAAACAGGGAGGAGTGAGGGGTAGCCCGCTGCCGCCCCTCGACACAGGGGACGCAGGTAGGGCCAGGCCCGGGAGGAAGGGGGGGAGGGACCGGGGAAGACCAGAGACAAGGACACGGGAGGCCATGCTTCGGAGACGAAGCAAGGAGGGGTGACCAAGGCGGTGGTGCCAGAGGAGAGTCTCGTGAGACAGGAGGCGACACGAGCAGGGGGCTGACTCAGGACCAGACCTGGACGCTGCAGCTAACACCTGACCCGACGCAGCTACCTGACCAGACGTAGGGATTGGAGGAGACGCAGTGGTCAGTGTGTACAGGCTCGACCCCGGCTGACGTGTAAACGTGGCTAGGTGTCGGCCTGTCCGAGCGTCCGTGCAGTGGGTCACCCGCTGACGCGCAGGAGTGAACTAGTGAACCCCTGCATCCTGTAGGTCAGCACCACTCACCAAGTTCATAGAGAACGAGGGGAGGTAAAGACCAGATAGGGTGCCAAAGGGGGCCGCTGGACAAGGGAGGACAAGGGAGAAGTGAGCAAGGACACGACCCCCAGAGGGGTCTGCCAAAGAGACCGCAATTGGCCGACCAAGCGGCGTGAGTGTGGTGCGGTCTCGAAAGAAGGAGTGAGAAGCCCCCGAGTCAAGTATGAAGGTGTGGGAGGCCAAAGGCGACGCAGTACCTGAGAGTGCAGACTCACCAGTACCGGAGGAAGAAAACGCACTAGCACCTAGGGCAGCAGCCTCGCTAGCACCAAGAGCAGCAGCCTCACCAGCACCTAGAGCAGCAGGCTCAATGCCCGGGTCGAGCGGGAAACACCGGTAACAGTCACCCTCCTCACTAATAGACACAGTATACATAGCAGCAAGAATAGCATCAAAGTCAAGGTCAAAGATAGCTACCCCTGCCCTAGAGAGCTCGCCCCAGCGAGGGATCTAAGTGGCCTAAGGGAACTGGTGACGCCAAGCGTCCGTCAGGCGGCCAAAGCAGCGCTGGGTGGGGTACGCACCCCCACACTGCTCACCCGCACGGTCGCCGGTGCGCAGGACGTAGGTGCACGGACCAGTACCCCCACCCCGCTGGCGTGCAGCGTACCACTCACGCAGCTGGTGAGGGGACAGGGTCTCCCGATTGCGCTGCTGCTGCTGGCGCTGACCACCACCGGAGCCACTCCTCTTCGAAGAGCCACGACCTCCTCCTCCTCCTCCTCCGCCACCGCCTCCTCCACCTCCGCCACCTCCACCACCTACGCTCCCACCGCCACCGCCGCTACCTCCGCCTCCACTTCCGCCACGGACACCTCCACCCCCGCCACCACCCCCACCGCCACCCCCACTCCCTCCGCCGCCTCCACCGCCGCCTCCACCGCCGCCTCCACCGCCCCCGCTAGCTCCTCCAGCGCCCCTGCCCCCCTTGCCCTTGCCAGAGCGGCATCTCCCTCTAGGGGTAGACGCCGCACCGACCGACTCAAGGCCAACGAGGTCGGCCGCAGCAGTAGAGGCAACAGAGGGCAAAAGGGGGGAGGGGGAACACCCCTCAAAGATGGGGGTGCGCGGGTCACCACGAGAGGCTCCTACAGCGACTATGCTCTTCTCTGCTGCTAGGAGGGCCTTCTCAAGGAGGTCAACAGTGAGAGTGGTGGGACAGACTGAGAGAAAGTGGTCCCTGTTTATGCGAAGGGAGTTAGGGAGGCCGGTGAATATGCAGTAGAGGGTGATGTACATGGGGGGGGGGGGGTTCTTGGCGCAAAACTCAGCAGGAAGCGCAGCGCGGTAGCGAGTGTCACTAGTGCGGAGGTGCGTAATGAGGTCAGCGACTGTGGGAAAGGCAGCAAGGTCAGGGAAGAGGTACGGTAGCATGAGGCGGCTCAGTGCAGCAGTGGCAGGGGAGGAGTAGCGTGCAACTACAGCGTCGTACAAGGTCTGAGCACTCTTGTACTGGCTAAAGTGCGCACGCTCAGAGGTAGGCAGGTGGCGACGCATAGCAAGACGTGCAGCAGCATCGCGCGTGGCCCACTGTGAGCGGACAGTGGCGTCAGCATCAGCAGCAGGGGCAGGAGAGGCTCCTGAGGTGAGGTCAAAGAGAGAGAGTGCGTCCGCCCTATCGCACTGTAAGAAAAGCTGCAGGTCATCTATCCAGACGTATAAGTCAATGGCCCGACCCTCAGCGTCAAAAGCGAGGACACTAGGGGTAGCCATGACAGCAGTAGACTAGCAGCGCGAACAGTAGGGTGAGGGCAGTGCAGTGACAGAGGCGCTGCTCTTACCAGACAGGGCGGCTCGGGCGGCTCGGCTGCAGGGCGACTCGGTGGCTCGGCAGCTGGGCGGTAGGCGGCTCGGCAGCTGGGCGGCTCGGCGGCTCGGCTGCTGGGCGGCTCGGCGGCTCGGCTGCTGGGCGGCTCCGGGGCTCGGCTGCTGGGCGGCCCGGCGGCTCTGCTGCTGGGCGGCTCGGCGGGGCCGCAAAGGAGGCGGCGGAAGGGCCGCTGAGAGGGCGGCGTCATGGGCCGCTGAGAGGAGGCGGCTGGGCCGCCGAGAGGAGGCGGCGGGGCCGCGGAGAGGAGGCGGCGGGGCCGCCGAGAGGAGGCGGCGGGGCCGCCGAGAGGAGGCGGCGGGGCCGCCGAGAGGAGGCGGTGGGGCCGCTTAAAGGAGGCGGCGGGGCCGCTGAAAGGGCGGCGACAAGGCTGCTGCAGGGGTAGTGGCAGGGCCGCTGAAAGGAGACGGCGGGGCCGGTGAGAAGGGCCGCGATGGGCCGCTGAAGAGGGCGGCGACAGAGCCGCAGCGAGGGCGGCGGCAGGGCCGTGCAAGGGCGGCGACGGGGCTGCTGGTGAAAGGGCGGCGAAGGGGGCCGCAGGGGGAGAGCGGTGACGGGCCGCGAAGGGCGGCGCATCGGGGTCGTAAGGGCTGTGGATCGGGGCCGCAAGGGTGGCGGATCGGGGCCGCAAGGGCGGCGGATCGGGGCCGCAAGAGGCCACTAGGGGGCGGTGAGGGCGGCTAGGGCGACGCGACGCGGCAGTTAGGGCGGCTCAACGCGACCGCTAGGGCAGCGCGACGAGGCCACGAGGGGCCGCTAAGGGCGACGCGACGGGGCCGTGAGGGGCCTAGCGAGGGCGCGACGGTAAGGAAAGCACACGAGGCGCGACTCGGGCCTAAGCGGAGCGCGCTACGGGCAGGAAAAAAAAAATTCGTAGTGGTGGGCCCTAGGAATCGTTCCCGTTAGGGAACCTGCTCGATACCATGAGAAGAAACGAGAATGAATGAACTATGAATGAATTGGGTACAAGTACTAACCCTAATTGGGTTGTACCCCTTATGGGCTACCCCACTATAGCCTACACAATATGCATGAGCTATAATGTTCTGACACCGATGCACCAAGGCATGCATCGGCGCACAACGGCATGGTGCCAATGCACCAATGGATGCATTGACGCACGTCGACATGATGTTGATGCACCATACGATGCATCAGCACATATCGGCATAGTGCTGACGCACTAAGGCATGCATCGGCGTGCGTCGGCATGGTATGCATCGGCGTGCGTCAGCAAGGTACTGATGCACCAATTAATTTATCGGCGCGCATCGGCATGGTGCTGAAGCACCCATGGGTGCATCGTAATGCGTCGGCATTATGCTGATGTACCAATGGGGACATGGACGTGGTCGTGGACGTGGTCGTGGACATGGACGTGGACGTGGACGTGGTCGTGGACGTAGTCGTGGACGTGGACGTGGACGTGGACCTGGACGTGGATGTGGACGTGGACGTGGACGTGGTCGTGGACATGGACGTGGACGTGGACGTGGACGTGGACGTGGACGTGGTCGTGGAGGTGGAAGTGGACGTGGACGTAGTCGTGGACGTGGACGTGGATGTGGACCTGGACCTGGACGTGGACGTGGACGTGGTCGTGGACCTGGACCTGGACGTGGACGTGGACGTGGACGTGTTCGTGGACGTGGACGTGGACGTGGTCGTGGACGTGGACGTGGACGTGGACGTGGTCGTGGACGTGGACGTGGACGTGGACGTGGACCTGGACGTGGACGTGGACATGGACGTGGACGTGGACTTGGACGTGGACGTGGACGTGGATCTGGACGTAGACGTGGACGTGGACATGGACGTGGACATGGTCGTGGACGTGGACGTGGTCGTGGACGTGGACGTGGACATGGACGTTGTCGTGGACGTGGACGTGGACGTGGACGTGGACCTGGACGTGGACGTGGACGTGGACTTGGACGTGGACGTGGACATCGACGTGGACGTGGACCTGGACATAGACGTGGACGTGGACGTGGACGTGGTCGTGGACCTGGACGTGGTCGTGGACGTGGTCATGGACGTGGACGTGGACGTGGACTTGGACTTGGACGTGGACGTGGACGGAGACGTGGACGTGGTCGTGGACGTGGACGTGGACGTGGTCGTGGACGTGGACGTGGACGTGGACGTGGTCGTGGACGTGGACGTGGACGTGGACCTGGACGTGGACCTGGACGTGGACGTGGACGTGGACTTGGACGTGGACGTGGTCGTGGACGTGGACGTGGAAGTGGACGTGGTCGTGGACGTGGACGTGGACGTAGTCGTAGTCGTGGACGTGGACCAGGACCTGGACGTGGACGTGGACGTGGACGTGGTCGTGGACGTGGACGTGGTCGTGGACGTGGACGTGGACGTGGACGTGGACGTGGACATGGACGTGGACGTGGACTTGGACGTGGACGTCGACGTGGACATGGACGTGGGCGTGGACGTGGATGTGGACGTGGACGTGGACCTGGACGTGGACGTGGACATGGACGTGGACGAGAACTTGGACGTGGACGTGGACGTGGACATCCACGTCGACGTGGACCTGGACGTAGACGTGGACGTCGACGTGGTCGTGGACGTGGACCTGGACGTGGTCGTGGACGTGGTCGTGGACGTGGACGTGGAGTTGGACTTGGACGTGGACGTGGACGGGGACGTGGACGTGGTCGTGGACGTGGACGTGGACGTGGTCGTGGACCTGGACGTGGACGTGGACGTGGACGTGGTCGTAGACGTGGACGTGGACCTGGACCTGGACGTGGACCTGGACGTGGACGTGGACTTGGACGTGGACGTGGACGTGGACGTGGTCGCGGTGGTGGACGCGGACGTGGACCTGGACGTGGACGTGGACGTGGACGTGGACTTGGATGTGAACGTCGACGTGGACGTGGAGGACGTGGACGTGGACGTGGAGGACGTGGACGTGGACGTGGACCTGGACGTAGATGTGGACGTGGACGTGGACTTGGACATGGACGTGGACGTGGACTTGGAGGACGAGGACGTGGATGTGGAGGACGTGGACGTGGACGTGAAAGTGGAGGACGTGGACGTGGACGTGGAGGACGTGGACGTGGACATGGACGTGGTCGTGGACGTGGACGTGGACATGGACATGGACGTGGACGTGGATGTGGTCGTAGACGTAGTCGTGGACGTGGACGTGGTCGTGGACGTGGACGTGGTCGTGGTCGTGGACGTGGACGTGGACGTGGACGTGGTCGTGGACGTGGACGTGGTCGTGGACGTGGACGTGGACGTGGACCTGGACGTGGACGTGGACGTGCACGTGGACGTGGACGTGGACGTGGACGTGGTCGTGGACGTGGACCTAGACGTGGACGTGAACCTGGACCTGGACCTGGACGTGGACGTGGTCGTGGACATGGACGTGGTCTTGGACGTGGACGTGGACCTGGACATGGACGTGGACGTGGTCGTGGACATGGACGTGGACGTGGTCGTGGACGTGGACCTGGACGTGGACGTGGACGTAAACGTGGACGTGGACGTGGTCGTGGATCAGGACGTGGACGTGGACGTGGACGTGGACCTGGACGTGGACGTGGTCGTGGACGTGGATCAGGACGTGGACGTGGTCGTGGACGTGGTCGTGGACGTGGACGTGGTCGTGGATGTGGTAGTGGTCGTGGACCTGGACGTGGACGTGGACGTGGACTTGGAGGACGTGGACGTGGACGTGGACGTGGAAGTGGTCGTGGACGTGGACGTGGTCGTGGACGTGGACGTGGTTGTGGACGTGGTCGTGGACGTGGACATGGTCGTGGACGTGGACGTGGACGTGGACGTGGACTTGGAGGAGGTGGACGTGGACGTAGACGTGGACGTGGTCGTGGACGTGGACATGGACGTGGACTTGGACGTGGACATGGACGTGGACGTGGACGTGGACGTGGTTGTGGACGTGGACGTGGTCGTGGACATGGACGTGGACATGGATGTGGACGTGGACGTGGATGTGGAGGTGGACGTGGTCGTGGACGTGGTGGACGTGGACGTGGACGTGAAGGACGTGGACGTGGACCTAGAGGACGTGGACGTGGAAGTGGACGTGGACGTGGACCTGGACGTGGACGTGGACTTGGACATGGACGTGGACGTGGACGTGGTCGTGGACGTGGACGTGGTCTTGGACGTGGACGTGGACGTGGACTTGGACGTGGACGTGGACGTGGACATGGTCGTGGACGTGGACGTGGACCTCGACCTAGACGTGGATGTGGACGTGGACGTGGACATGGACGTGGTCGTGGACATGGACGTGGACGTGGACGTGGACGTGGTCGTGGACGTGGAAGTGGACGTAGTCGTGGACGTGGACGTGGACGTGGACCTGGACCTGGACGTCGACGTGGACGTGGTCGTGGACCTGGACCTAGACATGGACATGGACGTCGACGTGGACGTGGACGTGGTCCTGGATGTGGACGTGGACGTGGTCGTGGACGTGGACGTGGACGTGGTCGTGGACGTGGACGTGGACGTGGACATGGACATGGACGTTGACGTGGACGTGGACATCGACGTGGACGTGGATCAGGACGTAGACGTGGACGTGGACGTGGAGGACGTGGACGTGGACATGGACGTGGTCGTGGACGTGGACGTGGACGTGGACATGGACGTGGACGTGGATGTGGTTGTAGACGTAGTCGTGGACGTGGACGTGGTCGTGGACGAGGACGTGGACGTGGTCGTGGTCGTGGACGTGGATGTGGACTTGGACGTGGTCGTGGACGAGGACGTGGACGTGGACGTGGTCGTGGATCAGGACGTGGACGTGGACGTGGACGTGGACCTGGACGTGGACGTGGTCGTGGACGTGGATCAGGACGTGGACGTGGTCGTGGACGTGGTCGTGGACGTGGACGTGGTCGTGGATGTGGTAGTGGTCGTGGACCTCGACGTGGACGTGGACTTGGAGGACGTGGACGTGGACGTGGACGTGGAAGTGGTCGTGGACGTGGACGTGGTGGTGGACGTGGACGTGGTTGTGGACGTGGTCGTGGACGTGGACGTGGTCGTGGACGTGGACGTGGACGTGGACTTGGAGGAGGTGGACGTGGACGTAGACGTGGACGTGGTCGTGGACGTGGACGTGGACTTGGACGTGGACATGGACGTGGACGTGGACGTGGACGTGGTTGTGGACGTGGACGTGGTCGTGGACGTGGACGTGGACATGGATGTGGACGTGGACGTGGATGTGGAGGTGGACGTGGTCGTGGACGTGGTGGACGTGGACGTGGACGTGGACGTGGAGGACGTGGACGTGGACCTAGAGGACGTGGACGTGGAAGTGGACGTGGACGTGGACCTGGACGTGGACGTGGACTTGGACATGGACGTGGACGTGGACGTGGTCGTGGACGTGGACGTGGTCTTGGACGTGGACGTGGACGTGGACTTGGACGTGGACGTGGACGTGGACATGGTCGTGGACGTGGATGTGGACCTCGACCTAGACGTGGATGTGGACGTGGACGTGGACATGGACGTGGTCATGGACATGGACGTGGACGTGGACGTGGACGTGGTCGTGGACGTGGAAGTGGACGTAGTCGTGGACGTGGACGTGGACGTGGACCTGGACCTGGATGTCGACGTGGACGTGGTCGTGGACCTGGACCTAGACATGGACATGGACGTCGACGTGGACGTGGACGTGGTCGTGGATGTGGACGTGGACGTGGTCGTGGACGTGGACGTGGACGTGGTCGTGGACGTGGACGTGGTCGTGGACGTGGACGTGGACGTGGACGTGGACATGGACATGGACGTTGACGTGGACGTGGACATCGACGTGGACGTGGATCAGGACGTAGACGTGGACGTGGACGTGGACGTGGACGTGGACATGTTCGTGGACGTGGACGTGGTCGTGGACGTGGACGTGGACGTGGACATGGACGTGGTCGTCGACGTGTACGTGGACGTGGACGTGGACCTGGACGTGGACGTGGACGTGGACTTGGACGTGGACGTGGACGTGGACATCGACATGGACGTGGACCTGGACGTAGACGTGGACGTGGACGTAGACGTGGTCGTGGACCTGGGCGTGGTCGTGGACGTGGTCGTGGACGTGGACGTGGACGCGGACTTGAACTTGGACGTGGACGTGGACGGGGACGTGGACGTGGTCGTGGACGTGGACGTGGACGTGGTCGTGGACGTGGACGTGGACGTGGTCGTGGACGTGGACATGGACCTGGACGTGGACCTAGACGTGGACGTGGACTTGGACGTGGACGTGGTCGTGGACGTGGACGTGGAAGTGGACGTGGTCGTGGACGTGGACGTGGACGTAGTCGTAGTCGTGGACGTGGACCAGGACCTGGACGTGGACGTGGACGTGGTTGTGGACGTGGACGTGGTCGTGGACGTGGACGTGGACGTGGACGTGGACCTGAACGTGGACGTGGACGTGGACGTGGACATGGACATGGACGTAGACTTGGACGTGGACGTGGACGTGGACATCAATGTGGACGTGGATCTGGACGTAGACGTGGAGGTGGACGTGGACGTGGACATGGTCGTGGACGTGGACGTGGACGTGGACCTGGACATGGACCTGGACGTGGACGAGGACATCGACGTGGGCGTGGACCTGGACGTGGACGTGGACGTAGACTTGGTCGTGGATGTGGACGTGGTGGTGGTCGTGGACGTCGACGTGGACTTGGACGTGGTCGTAGACATGGACGTGGTCGTGGACGTGGACGTGGTCGTGGACGAGGACGTGGACGTGGTCGTGGTCGTGGACGTGGATGTGGACCTGGACGTGGTCGTGGACGAGGACGTGGACGAGGACGTGGACGTGGACGTGGACGAGGATGTGGTCGTGGACGTGGACGTGGACGTGGTCGTGGACGTGGACGTGGTCGTGGACGTGGACGTGGTCGTGGACGTGGACGTGGACGTGGACCTGGACGTGGACGTGGACGTGGACCTGGACGTGGACGTGGACATGGACATGGTCGTGGACGTGGACATGGTCGTGGACGTGGACGTGGACGTGGTCGTGGACGTGGACGTGGTCGTGGACATGGACGTGGACATGGTCATGGACGTGGACGTGGTCGTGGACGTGGACGTGGACATGGACGTGGTCGTGGACGTGGACGTGGAAGTGGACGTGGACCTGGACGCGGACGTGGACGTGGACGTGGACTTGGACGTGGACGTGGACGTGGACATCGACGTGGACGTGGACCTGGACGTAGACGTGGACGCGGACGTGGTCGTCGACCTGGACGTGGTCGTGGACGTGGTCGTGGACGTGGACGTGGACGTGGACGTGGACTTGGACTTGGACGTGGACGTGGACGGGGCCGTGGACGTGGTCGTGGACGTGGACGTGGACGTGGACGTGGTCGTGGACGTGGACGTGGACGTGGACGTGGTCGTAAACGTGGACGTGGATGTGGAGGACGTGGACGTGGACGTGAAAGTGGAGGACGTGGACGTGGACGTGGAGGACGTGGACGTGGACATGGACGTGGTCGTGGACGTGGACGTGGACATGGACATGGACGTGGACGTGGATGTGGTCGTAGACGTAGTCGTGGACGTGGACGTGGTCGTGGACGTGGACGTGGTCGTGGTCGTGGACGTGGACGTGGACGTGGACGTGGTCGTGGACGTGGACGTGGTCGTGGACGTGGACGTGGACGTGGACGTGGACCTGGACGTGGACGTGGACGTGCACGTGGACGTGGACGTGGACGTGGTCGTGGACGTGGACCTAGACGTGGACGTGAACCTGGACCTGGACCTGGACGTGGACGTGGTCGTGGACATGGACGTGGTCTTGGACGTGGACGTGGACCTGGACATGGACGTGGACGTGGTCGTGGACATGGACGTGGACGTGGTCGTGGACGTGGACCTGGACGTGGACGTGGACGTAAACGTGGACGTGGACGTGGACTTGGTCGTGGACGTGGACGTGGACGTGGTCGTGGTCGTGGACGTGGACGTGGACTTGGACGTGGTCGTAGACATGGACGTGGTCGTGGACGTGGACGTGGTCGTGGACGAGGACGTGGACGTGGTCGTGGTCGTGGACGTGGATGTGGACTTGGACGTGGTCGTGGACGAGGACGTGGACGTGGACGTGGTCGTGGATCAGGACGTGGACGTGGACGTGGACCTGGACGTGGACGTGGTCGTGGACGTGGATCAGGACGTGGACGTGGTCGTGGACGTGGTCGTGGACGTGGACGTGGTCGTGGATGTGGTAGTGGTCGTGGACCTGGACGTGGACGTGGACGTGGACTTGGAGGACGTGGACGTGGACGTGGACGTGGAAGTGGTCGTGGACGTGGACGTGGTCGTGGACGTGGACGTGGTTGTGGACGTGGTCGTGGACGTGGACATGGTCGTGGACGTGGACGTGGACGTGGACGTGGACTTGGAGGAGGTGGACGTGGACGTAGACGTGGACGTGGTCGTGGACGTGGACATGGACGTGGACTTGGACGTGGACATGGACGTGGACGTGGACGTGGTTGTGGACGTGGACGTGGTCGTGGACGTGGACGTGGACATGGATGTGGACGTGGACGTGGATGTGGAGGTGGACGTGGTCGTGGACGTGGTGGACGTGGACGTGGACGTGGAGGACGTGGACGTGGACCTAGAGGACGTGGACGTGGAAGTGGACGTGGACGTGGACCTGGACGTGGACGTGGACTTGGACATGGACGTGGACGTGGACGTGGTCGTGGACGTGGACGTGGTCTTGGACGTGGACGTGGACGTGGACTTGGACGTGGACGTGGACGTGGACATGGTCGTGGACGTGGACATGGACCTCGACCTAGACGTGGATGTGGACGTGGACGTGGACATGGACGTGGTCGTGGACATGGACGTGGACGTGGACGTGGACGTGGTCGTGGACGTGGAAGTGGACGTAGTCGTGGACGTGGACGTGGACGTGGACCTGGACCTGGACGTCGACGTGGACGTGGTCGTGGACCTGGACCTAGACATGGACATGGACGTCGACGTGGACGTGGACGTGGTCGTGGATGTGGACGTGGACGTGGTCGTGGACGTGGACGTGGACGTGGTCGTGGACGTGGACGTGGACGTGGACATGGACATGGACGTTGACGTGGACGTGGACATCGACGTGGACGTGGATCAGGACGTAGACGTGGACGTGGACGTGGAGGACGTGGACGTGGACATGGACGTGGTCGTGGACGTGGACGTGGACGTGGACATGGACGTGGACGTGGATGTGGTCGTAGACGTAGTCGTGGACGTGGACGTGGTCGTGGACGAGGACGTGGACGTGGTCGTGGTCGTGGACGTGGATGTGGACTTGGACGTGGTCGTGGACGAGGACGTGGACGTGGACGTGGTCGTGGATCAGGACGTGGACGTGGACGTGGACGTGGACCTGGACGTGGACGTGGTCGTGGACGTGGATCAGGACGTGGACGTGGTCGTGGACGTGGTCGTGGACGTGGACGTGGTCGTGGATGTGGTAGTGGTCGTGGACCTCGACGTGGACGTGGACTTGGAGGACGTGGACGTGGACGTGGACGTGGAAGTGGTCGTGGACGTGGACGTGGTGGTGGACGTGGACGTGGTTGTGGACGTGGTCGTGGACGTGGACGTGGTCGTGGACGTGGACGTGGACGTGGACTTGGAGGAGGTGGACGTGGACGTAGACGTGGACGTGGTCGTGGACGTGGACGTGGACTTGGACGTGGACATGGACGTGGACGTGGACGTGGACGTGGTTGTGGACGTGGACGTGGTCGTGGACGTGGACGTGGACATGGATGTGGACGTGGACGTGGATGTGGAGGTGGACGTGGTCGTGGACGTGGTGGACGTGGACGTGGACGTGGACGTGGAGGACGTGGACGTGGACCTAGAGGACGTGGACGTGGAAGTGGACGTGGACGTGGACCTGGACGTGGACGTGGACTTGGACATGGACGTGGACGTGGACGTGGTCGTGGACGTGGACGTGGTCTTGGACGTGGACGTGGACGTGGACTTGGACGTGGACGTGGACGTGGACATGGTCGTGGACGTGGATGTGGACCTCGACCTAGACGTGGATGTGGACGTGGACGTGGACATGGACGTGGTCATGGACATGGACGTGGACGTGGACGTGGACGTGGTCGTGGACGTGGAAGTGGACGTAGTCGTGGACGTGGACGTGGACGTGGACCTGGACCTGGATGTCGACGTGGACGTGGTCGTGGACCTGGACCTAGACATGGACATGGACGTCGACGTGGACGTGGACGTGGTCGTGGATGTGGACGTGGACGTGGTCGTGGACGTGGACGTGGACGTGGTCGTGGACGTGGACGTGGACGTGGACGTGGACATGAACATGGACGTTGACGTGGACGTGGACATCGACGTGGACGTGGATCAGGACGTAGACGTGGACGTGGACGTGGACGTGGACGTGGACATGTTCGTGGACGTGGACGTGGTCGTGGACGTGGACGTGGACGTGGACATGGACGTGGTCGTCGACGTGTACGTGGACGTGGACGTGGACCTGGACGTGGACGTGGACGTGGACTTGGACGTGGACGTGGACGTGGACATCGACATGGACGTGGACCTGGACGTAGACGTGGACGTGGACGTAGACGTGGTCGTGGACCTGGGCGTGGTCGTGGACGTGGTCGTGGACGTGGACGTGGACGCGGACTTGGACTTGGACGTGGACGTGGACGGGGACGTGGACGTGGTCGTGGACGTGGACGTGGACGTGGTCGTGGACGTGGACGTGGACGTGGTCGTGGACGTGGACATGGACCTGGACGTGGACCTAGACGTGGACGTGGACTTGGACGTGGACGTGGTCGTGGACGTGGACGTGGAAGTGGACGTGGTCGTGGACGTGGACGTGGACGTAGTCGTAGTCGTGGACGTGGACCAGGACCTGGACGTGGACGTGGACGTGGTTGTGGACGTGGACGTGGTCGTGGACGTGGACGTGGACGTGGACGTGGACCTGAACGTGGACGTGGACGTGGACGTGGACGTGGACATGGACGTAGACTTGGACGTGGACGTGGACGTGGACATCAATGTGGACGTGGATCTGGACGTAGACGTGGAGGTGGACGTGGACGTGGACATGGTCGTGGACGTGGACGTGGACGTGGACCTGGACATGGACCTGGACGTGGACGTGGACATCGACGTGGGCGTGGACCTGGACGTGGACGTGGACGTAGACTTGGTCGTGGATGTGGACGTGGTGGTGGTCGTGGACGTCGACGTGGACTTGGACGTGGTCGTAGACATGGACGTGGTCGTGGACGTGGACGTGGTCGTGGACGAGGACGTGGACGTGGTCGTGGTCGTGGACGTGGATGTGGACCTGGACGTGGTCGTGGACGAGGACGTGGACGAGGACGTGGACGTGGACGTGGACGAGGATGTGGTTGTGGACGTGGACGTGGACGTGGTCGTGGACGTGGACGTGGTCGTGGACGTGGACGTGGTCGTGGACGTGGACGTGGACGTGGACCTGGACGTGGACGTGGACGTGGACCTGGACGTGGACGTGGACCTGGACGTGGTCGTGGACGTGGACATGGTCGTGGACGTGGACGTGGACGTGGTCGTGGACGTGGACGTGGTCGTGGACATGGACGTGGACGTGGTCGTGGACGTGGACGTGGTCGTGGACATGGACGTGGACATGGTCATGGACGTGGACGTGGTCGTGGACGTGGACGTGGACATGGACGTGGTCGTGGACGTGGACGTGGAAGTGGACGTGGACCTGGACGCGGACGTGGACGTGGACGTGGACTTGGACGTGGACGTGGACGTGGACATCGACGTGGACGTGGACCTGGACGTAGACGTGGACGCGGACGTGGTCGTCGACCTGGACGTGGTCGTGGACGTGGTCGTGGACGTGGACGTGGACGTGGACTTGGACTTGGACTTGGACGTGGACGTGGACGGGGCCGTGGACGTGGTCGTGGACGTGGACGTGGACGTGGACGTGGTCGTGGACGTGGACGTGGACGTGGACGTGGTCGTAAACGTGGACGTGGATGTGGAGGACGTGGACGTGGACGTGAAAGTGGAGGACGTGGACGTGGACGTGGAGGACGTGGACGTGGACATGGACGTGGTCGTGGACGTGGACGTGGACATGGACATGGACGTGGACGTGGATGTGGTCGTAGACGTAGTCGTGGACGTGGACGTGGTCGTGGACGTGGACGTGGTCGTGGTCGTGGACGTGGACGTGGACGTGGACGTGGTCGTGGACGTGGACGTGGTCGTGGACGTGGACGTGGACGTGGACGTGGACCTGGACGTGGACGTGGACGTGCACGTGGACGTGGACGTGGACGTGGACGTGGTCGTGGACGTGGACCTAGACGTGGACGTGAACCTGGACCTGGACCTGGACGTGGACGTGGTCGTGGACATGGACGTGGTCTTGGACGTGGACGTGGACCTGGACATGGACGTGGACGTGGTCGTGGACATGGACGTGGACGTGGTCGTGGACGTGGACCTGGACGTGGACGTGGACGTAAACGTGGACGTGGACGTGGACTTGGTCGTGGACGTGGACGTGGACGTGGTCGTGGTCGTGGACGTGGACGTGGACTTGGACGTGGTCGTAGACATGGACGTGGTCGTGGACGTGGACGTGGTCGTGGACGAGGACGTGGACGTGGTCGTGGTCGTGGACGTGGATGTGGACTTGGACGTGGTCGTGGACGAGGACGTGGACGTGGACGTGGTCGTGGATCAGGACGTGGACGTGGACGTGGACCTGGACGTGGACGTGGTCGTGGACGTGGATCAGGACGTGGACGTGGTCGTGGACGTGGTCGTGGACGTGGACGTGGTCGTGGATGTGGTAGTGGTCGTGGACCTGGACGTGGACGTGGACGTGGACTTGGAGGACGTGGACGTGGACGTGGACGTGGAAGTGGTCGTGGACGTGGACGTGGTCGTGGACGTGGTTGTGGACGTGGTCGTGGACGTGGACATGGTCGTGGACGTGGACGTGGACGTGGACGTGGACTTGGAGGAGGTGGACGTGGACGTAGACGTGGACGTGGTCGTGGACGTGGACATGGACGTGGACTTGGACGTGGACATGGACGTGGACGTGGACGTGGTTGTGGACGTGGACGTGGTCGTGGACGTGGACGTGGACATGGATGTGGACGTGGACGTGGATGTGGAGGTGGACGTGGTCGTGGACGTGGTGGACGTGGACGTGGACGTGGAGGACGTGGACGTGGACCTAGAGGACGTGGACGTGGAAGTGGACGTGGACGTGGACCTGGACGTGGACGTGGACTTGGACATGGACGTGGACGTGGACGTGGTCGTGGACGTGGACGTGGTCTTGGACGTGGACGTGGACGTGGATTTGGACGTGGACGTGGACGTGGACATGGTCGTGGACGTGGACATGGACCTCGACCTAGACGTGGATGTGGACGTGGACGTGGACATGGACGTGGTCGTGGACATGGACGTGGACGTGGACGTGGACGTGGTCGTGGACGTGGAAGTGGACGTAGTCGTGGACGTGGACGTGGACGTGGACCTGGACCTGGACGTCGACGTGGACGTGGTCGTGGACCTGGACCTAGACATGGACATGGACGTCGACGTGGACGTGGACGTGGTCGTGGATGTGGACGTGGACGTGGTCGTGGACGTGGACGTGGACGTGGTCGTGGACGTGGACGTGGACGTGGACATGGACATGGACGTTGACGTGGACGTGGACATCGACGTGGACGTGGATCAGGACGTAGACGTGGACGTGGACGTGGAGGACGTGGACGTGGACATGGACGTGGTCGTGGACGTGGACGTGGACGTGGACATGGACGTGGACGTGGATGTGGTCGTAGACGTAGTCGTGGACGTGGACGTGGTCGTGGACGAGGACGTGGACGTGGTCGTGGTCGTGGACGTGGATGTGGACTTGGACGTGGTCGTGGACGAGGACGTGGACGTGGACGTGGTCGTGGATCAGGACGTGGACGTGGACGTGGACGTGGACCTGGACGTGGACGTGGTCGTGGACGTGGATCAGGACGTGGACGTGGTCGTGGACGTGGTCGTGGACGTGGACGTGGTCGTGGATGTGGTAGTGGTCGTGGACCTCGACGTGGACGTGGACTTGGAGGACGTGGACGTGGACGTGGACGTGGAAGTGGTCGTGGACGTGGACGTGGTGGTGGACGTGGACGTGGTTGTGGACGTGGTCGTGGACGTGGACGTGGTCGTGGACGTGGACGTGGACGTGGACGTGGACTTGGAGGAGGTGGACGTGGACGTAGACGTGGACGTGGTCGTGGACGTGGACGTGGACTTGGACGTGGACATGGACGTGGACGTGGACGTGGACGTGGTTGTGGACGTGGACGTGGTCGTGGACGTGGACGTGGACATGGATGTGGACGTGGACGTGGACGTGGAGGACGTGGACGTGGACCTAGAGGACGTGGACGTGGAAGTGGACGTGGACTTGGACGTGGACGTGGACATGGACGTGGACGTGGTCTTGGACATGGACGTGGACGTGGACGTGGACGTGGACTTGGACATGGACATGGACGTGGACGTGGACGTGGTCGTGGACGTGGACGTGGTCTTGGACGTGGACGTGGACTTGGACTTGGACGTGGACGTGGACGTGGACATGGTCGTGGACGTGGACGTGGACCTCGACCTAGACGTGGATGTGGACGTGGACGTGGACATGGACGTGGTCATGGACATGGACGTGGACGTGGACGTGGACGTGGTCGTGGACGTGGAAGTGAACGTAGTCGTGGACGTGGACGTGGACGTGGACCTGGACCTGGATGTCGACGTGGACGTGGTCGTGGACCTGGACCTAGACATGGACATGGACGTCGACGTGGACGTGGACGTGGTCGTGGATGTGGACGTGGACGTGGTCGTGGACGTGGACGTGGACGTGGTCGTGGACGTGGACGTGGACGTGGACGTGGACATGGACATGGACGTTGACGTGGACGTGGACATCGACGTGGACGTGGATCAGGACGTAGACGTGGACGTGGACGTGGACGTGGACGTGGACATGTTCGTGGACGTGGACGTGGTCGTGGACATGGACGTGGACGTGGACATGGACGTGGTCGTCGACGTGTACGTGGACGTGGACGTGGACCTGGACGTGGACGTGGACGTGGACTTGGACGTGGACGTGGACGTGGACATCGACATGGACGTGGACCTGGACGTAGACGTGGACGTGGACGTAGACGTGGTCGTGGACCTGGGCGTGGTCGTGGACGTGGTCGTGGACGTGGACGTGGACGCGGACTTGGACTTGGACGTGGACGTGGACGGGGACGTGGACGTGGTCGTGGACGTGGACGTGGACGTGGTCGTGGACGTGGACGTGGACGTGGTCGTGGACGTGGACATGGACCTGGACGTGGACCTAGACGTGGACGTGGACTTGGACGTGGACGTGGTCGTGGACGTGGACGTGGAAGTGGACGTGGTCGTGGACGTGGACGTGGACGTAGTCGTAGTCGTGGACGTGGACCAGGACCTGGACGTGGACGTGGACGTGGTTGTGGACGTGGACGTGGTCGTGGACGTGGACGTGGACGTGGACGTGGACCTGAACGTGGACGTGGACGTGGACGTGGACGTGGACATGGACGTAGACTTGGACGTGGACGTGGACGTGGACATCAATGTGGACGTGGATCTGGACGTAGACGTGGAGGTGGACGTGGACGTGGACATGGTCGTGGACGTGGACGTGGACGTGGACCTGGACATGGACCTGGACGTGGACGTGGACATGGACGTGGGCGTGGACCTGGACGTGGACGTGGACGTAGACTTGGTCGTGGATGTGGACGTGGTGGTGGTCGTGGACGTCGACGTGGACTTGGACGTGGTCGTAGACATGGACGTGGTCGTGGACGTGGACGTGGTCGTGGACGAGGACGTGGACGTGGTCGTGGTCGTGGACGTGGATGTGGACCTGGACGTGGTCGTGGACGAGGACGTGGACGAGGACGTGGACGTGGACGTGGACGAGGATGTGGTCGTGGACGTGGACGTGGACGTGGTCGTGGACGTGGACGTGGTCGTGGACGTGGACGTGGTCGTGGACGTGGACGTGGACGTGGACCTGGACGTGGACGTGGACGTGGACCTGGACGTGGACGTGGACATGGACATGGTCGTGGACGTGGACATGGTCGTGGACGTGGACGTGGACGTGGTCGTGGACGTGGACGTGGTCGTGGACATGGACGTGGACATGGTCATGGACGTGGACGTGGTCGTGGACGTGGACGTGGACATGGACGTGGTCGTGGACGTGGACGTGGAAGTGGACGTGGACCTGGACGCGGACGTGGACGTGGACGTGGACTTGGACGTGGACGTGGACGTGGACATCGACGTGGACGTGGACCTGGACGTAGACGTGGACGCGGACGTGGTCGTAGACCTGGACGTGGTCGTGGACGTGGTCGTGGACGTGGACGTGGACGTGGACGTGGACTTGGACTTGGACTTGGACGTGGACGTGGACGGGGCCGTGGACGTGGTCGTGGACGTGGACGTGGACGTGGACGTGGTCGTGGACGTGGACGTGGACGTGGACGTGGTCGTAAACGTGGACGTGGACGTGGACTTGGACGTCGACTTGGACGTGGATGTGGACGTGGTCGTGGACGTGGACGTGGTTGTGGACGTAAATGTGGACGAGGACGTGGACTTGGACGTGGACATGGATGTGGTCGTGGACGTGGACGTGGACGTGGACGTTGACGTGGACGTGGACATCGACGTGGACGTGGATCTCGACGTAGACGTGGACGTGGACGTGGACATGGTCGAGGACGTGGACGTGGTCGTGAACGTGGACGTGGACGTGGACATGGACGTGGTCGTAAACGTGGACGTGGACGTGGACGTGGACCTGGACGTGGACGTGGACGTGGACTTGGACGTGGACATGGACATCGACGTGGACGTGGACCTGGACGTAGACGTGGAAGTGGACGTAGACGTGGTCGTTGACCTGGACGTGGTCGTGGACGTGGTTGTGGACGTGGACGTGGACGTGGACTTGGACTTGGACGTGGACGTGGACGTGGACGTGGACGTGGTCGTGGACGTGGACGTGGTCGTGGACGTGGACCTGGACGTGGACGTGGACTTGGACGTGGACCTGGACGTGGACGTGGACTTGGACGTGGACGTGGACATGGACGTGGACGTGGACGTGGACGTGGACGTGGACGTGGACGTGGATCTGGACGTCGACGTCGACGTGGACGTGGTCGTGGACGTGGACGTGGACCTGGACGTGGACCTGGACGTGGACCTGGACGTGGACGTGGACCTGGACGTGGACGTGGACGTGGACTTGGTCGTAGACGTGGACGTGGTCGTGGTCGTGGACGTCGATGTGGACGTGGTCGTAGACATGGACGTGGTCGTAGACGTGGACGTGGTCGTGGACGAGGACGTGGACGTGGTCGTGGTCGTGGACGTAGATGTGGACCTGGACGTGGTCGTGGACGAGAACGTGGACGTGGACGTGGACGAGGACGTGGTCGTGAACGTGGACGTGGACGTGGTCGTGGACGTGGACGTGGACGTGGACGTGGTCGTGGACGTGGACGTGGACGTGGACCTGGACGTGGACGT